ATATTATACAAACATGATGGTATATTGTACAAACAGGAAAAGTATCTTGTTAGAACAATAAACTTTTCACGTTATAACGTGATACACTTGTATTTTTCTTTTGCCTGGGTGGCAGCTCTACGCTTCCGTATGAAACAACATTTATCCCATGCTGGTCAAATTTAGTTGTCATATCAGTGCAATAGAACCACCTAAAAAGAGTGAATTTGAACATAAAAAGAGATAAAGTAAATCTGAGAGTTAAAAACACTGAGAAGTGTCCACTGCATTTTATTTTTTGGATATATGGTGTTTTACACATTTTCTTTTCCCAGTGATCTCTGTCGCTCCCTTCCCTATTCCAACCTATTTTGCGAACCATTCAGCATTACTGAATTTCCCGGAGGAACCCACCCGAGGGATTAATAAAGTTTCATCTAATCTAATCATACAACTCATGCATACAGGAGCAGGGTAATATTCCTAGAACTAGAACCAAACAAGGTGAGGCAGCATTTACTGTTCATGCATCTCTATTGTAGCATAAACTCCCCTCACACTTGCAGCGTGCAAAATCTATTAGTTAATTTAAATCAGGATTTAAAACTGTTTTTTGTTTGTTTTGCTTTTACGTGAAGTATAAATTCTAGCGCTGTCAGTATTTATCTTGTAAAAATGACGTTAACGCCATAACCGCATTAATCGGCAAATTTCCGTTAGCGAGTTGGGCTTACATAAGTTGGCTTGCGTTGGGCTACACGGCGTAAGTTAGCTCCTTAACACGTTACCGCCATGCAGCCCCACGCATGGGGCAATCCACGTTAACTCGCTAATGGAGAATGCCGCATTAATGCGGTTATGGCGTTGACATCCTTTTAATGAGATTAATGCTGACAGCACTAATAAATTCTATTATAATTATTGTATTTTTGCTTAGCCCTAATGCTTTCCTCATTTTGTGTTTGTAAAGCACATAGAATTTCTTTTGTATGAAAGGTGCTACAGTAGTTTGACTTTGACAGTTCATACATGTTCAGTGACATGCAGTTAAGGTTTTGGAGAACAGGATGGAAGCATGTTGGTGAAAACACTTTCTGTATGCTGTATGATAGAAAGGGGACAGAGGGGGGAATGCCTCCTCTGCACCCTGGTGACACACCTTTACCCCAAGGCCCTGCATGTGTGGGTGATTGTGGTGGAGCGGGAAGAGGGAGGCAGCTGGAGATGGGGAGGGAAGGAAGGGAGGGGCAAGTGGCTGGCGCCAGCTCTCCCGCTAACCCCAGTAGGCACCCCCATACTCTGCAACCCCCCAGGGCAAGGTGGCCCAGGCCC